GCACACGGAGCTTGCTTGCTTTTTCTCCCATCCTCGCGCTCCCTCCTCTCTCTAGGAAATGCCCTGCGTCGCTCGCCTCTTGAACCATCGCAGCCACCAGCCCCAGTAGACACACCACTTCTGCCCACCTTCCTGCGTTTTGCAAGGGATTCTAATAAGGAATCCACGGGTAGTGCATGGCCCCTGGGATCTGTAGTACTCAGGACGGAGCTTGCTTGCTTTTTCTCCCATCCTCGCGCTCCCTCCTCTCTCTAGGAAATGCCCTGCGTCGCTCGCCTCTTGAACCATCGCAGCCACCAGCCCCAGTAGACACACCACTTCTGCCCACCTTCCTGCGTTTTGCAAGGGATTCTAATAAGGAATCCACGGGTAGTGCATGGCCCCTGGGATCTGTAGTACTCAGGAGGAAAATAAGAGCCGATGTCAACCATGAATCAAAGTAACGGGGAAAGGGGGGAGAGAGAGAAGAGTGTGCGCTTTTTTCTGTCTCTATCAGGACTAACGTTCAGAAGAGATGCTGGAGACCGCATGCATAGACTGTACAAATACTGTACACTCTCTTAAAGCACTGGGATCAGCATTTTTCTCTCTCGCTGGAGTCGCCCTAGCTTGCCTTGTTGAAGTAAAATACTGTATGTAGTGCAGCAGTATATTTTGTAAGCAATGTAAATAATTCCTGGCCAGTTAAGAACTCAGACCACTGCCCATAGAAAATACAGGGGTCTATGTATGCAACACGTTTTGCTGTTTGCAAAAAAAAAAGGCATTTATAATTAAGGATAGGAGAAAAGCATATCCCCAATGGAAAACAAAGGAGCTCATGGAAATAGGCATTTTTCCTAATTAAGGTTAATCCATAATTAATAATTACATATTAAGTCAATTCCAACTTATGGTGGAACCCTTGCCAGGGTTTTCTAGGTATAGCGCACTAAGAAGTGGCTTACCATTCCCTTCTTCTGGGACACTCTCAGATTGTGTGATCTACATATCCTTTATACAATGCACATCAGGAAATCAAATTTCCAACTATCCATGTTTTTTCATGTATAAGACGCCCCCATGTATAAGACCCCCCTTTTAACTCAAAATTTATTCCTTTGCAAGAAAGTGGAGGGAGAAGGCAGGCATCAAAGCGCATTGATTCCTGCTTTCCCCCTCCACTTTCTTGCCAAAAAAGTACTTTCCCTGGCCACTTTCTTTGTAAAAAGCTGCTTTCCCCATCCATTTTCTTTGCAAAACATGGAGGGGGAAAGCCATGCCTTTGACCCCTCCCCTCCTCTTTACTACCATGTACAAAATGGCCCTCAATTTTTCCTCTAATTATCTTAGGAAAAAATGTCATTTTATACATGGAAAAATACAGTATTGTAGTTCTGCAACCACATATTCGACTCACTGAGTTATTCTATATATCCCTTTTCCAGGAGTAAGTCACACTGAACTTAGTGGGAACCTAACTTGGTTAATATCTTACTAATGGTTAAGACTGGAATGTTATGATTTATCCAATATGAAACGCTATGGTAATCTACTCAATAAATAAAATTTACCATTGTTAAGGTAGCAATCCTCATGACTGCTTTCAGTCAAGTAATGACAAATTACAGAGCAAATCATTTGTCAAATAAATGCCTGATTAAAAACAGAATATTCCTGGTCAAAATGCATTTTGATTCTGTAACACAAGAGGCCTATAGGTCTTTGGTGATACACAACCAGAGATTCAGAAGGAGAATAAAACTATGGGGAAAGAGCTGGCAGAGAAGCATTTTTGTGCCACTGTGCATGAATTTCAGTTTTCTTATGCAAGAATCTTGCACTTAGTGAGCAAAATCCTTTCCTCATTTGGAAGAGACATTCTACTGGTAGGAAGACACCAGTGTGAATCTACCCACGTAAATTCGCCTTTCACAGGTGGCACAGGTTTTATTTTTATCAGCACAGTCAGAGATACAAACCGAAACAGGCTACAAACAGAAATAAAGCAGTTATACAGTAGGCTTCACATTAAAATTGTAATAAAGGGCAGTCAAGTCAGTTCTGACTTATGGCAATCCTTTCCATGGTTTTCTAAGTAGAGAATACTCATAAGTGGGGGGCATCTTGGGACTATGCAGCTTGCCCATGGTTATACTGACTAGTTCTTCTCCCAGGAGACAGAGTGAGGAATCAAACGCCACGCTTCTGGCTTTGCAGCCAGATATATACATCACTAAGCACCTCATTACCTGCTAAAATTACTTTCAGCATTTCTGTCCCTGCCTTTCTAATAAATGTCTAAAGTAGTTTAGAGTCAACGGGATGAATCACCTCAGAATAAAACTGCTGAAAACAAGGGAACTTAAATTAGTCATTGTGACATTTGCCCTTGTGGCTCCTGCTTGTTTCCCTCACAAAGGCTCACGTCGTGTTTTCTTCTTGCTGCCACCAGTGGATTACCTCAATCCACAATATAAATGACGTTTGTCAGAACACTTATCTTGTGAACAGAGAACTTATTTATTGGAGTGAAACAGGCTGAATAATAGAAGTTCTTCAGATACACGTTATACATAAACAATTCAACAGTTCTCTCAGTACATACTTTTTCTCGTGCTATATCATTACCACCACCTCTATTTTCCTAACCAGCTCTATCTCTCTCAGTATCTGTTCCCTCTGACTAACCAGCCCTATCTGACTCCTTCTCCCACCAAGCCTTATGTAGCTTCTGACTCCGCCTCTCCAGTCCTCTCATAGGTTCATGCAAATCAGCTCACGAATATGAATAGCATGAGTGACATGGGCAATCGCCACAGTCATTCTGTGAGGTCTCCTTGGATAAGCACTTTTAGCTAGATCCTATATGGTCCCTATCCACAGATGATACACCATGATGTTTCCTTCAAATGAGTGACCTAAATGACCTTTGAGATATCTTCTAATTACTGTATGTCATTCTGTATCTTCTTCTGAAAAATAAGGTATTCTGTTATTTTACCTATAATAGTATCTGTAACAGGCAAAAAACCTGTTGCTTAGCTTAGTATAGTAAATCACACTAGTGTAAACCCATTGAATCAGTGGGGATATGGTGAGTCAAATCCAACATAAAATCCACCAATTCAAGTGTGATTACTCCAACTGTGACTTAATATGGTAAAAGATAAGGCTACTTACCTGTAACCATAGTTCTTCGAGTGGTCCTCTGTGAATTCACACATATGGGTATTGTCTGCGCCTGCGCTGACATTCTCAGAAGATTCTAGAGCTGAAAGTAACAATTTAGTGGTGTGATTCCCCCACAAGGCATATGCTCCACCCACTAACCCTTCCCCTCAGTTCTGAAAATTTTTCCGCCAGGCATAAGTATGACAAGTGAGCTGTGACGGAAGAGGGGAGGATGAGTGGGTAGGGTGAATTCACAGAGGACCACTCGAAGAACTATGGTTACAGGTAAGTAACCATATCTTCTTCTTCGTGGCCTCTGTGAATGCACACATATGGGTGACTAGCAAGCTTCACTTACCGGCAGGTGAGACGTCACGGCAGGAAGGATGCCAACACAGCTCTGCTGAAGGAAGCATCATGTCTTGCTCTGACATCGAGCCGGTAGTGCCGTATGAAGGTCGACGGTGTCGACCAGGTGGCAGCATGGCAGATGTCCAGAATCTCAGTGCCACGGTGGAAGGCAACCGATGTGGAAAGGGCTCTAGTGGAATGAGCCGTCAAATGGTCAGGAGGTGATTTTCCTGAGAGTCTATAGGAGACAGAAATTGTGGAAACTATCCATCTGGAGATGGATTGGGAAGATGCAGGGTCCCTATACGGGGACCGTAGAAGCATATGAAAAGTCTGTTGGACTGTCTGTGTGAATTAGTCCTGTGGATATAGAAAGACAGTGCTCTCCTGACGTCCAGAGTGTGGAGCATATGCTCCAACGGTGTCAATGGGGACTTGAAGAAAGAAGGTAGTATAATAGGTTGGTTCATATGGAAATTAGAGACTACCTTGGGCAGAAAGGAAACATCAAAGTACATGGTCACCTTGTCAGGGTGAAACTGGGTAAAAGGTGGGTCGCAACGTAGGGCCGCAAGTTCTCAGGCTCGTTTAGCTGA